TTAACACTGCACTGAGAGAGAGAGGGGTTCATACAGACACACTGACTGGACACTCCAGTACATTAACACTGCACTGAGAGAGGAGAGTTAAGGAGTGACAGAGAGCTTTGTACCTGTGTGAATCCCAATTTGATTCTTCGTTGTTTGAAGGTGCGGGCAAACTGCTCAAGCTCTTCCAGGTCACTGGGCTCCTCGGGGTGAGAGGTAACGACACTGTCCATACACTTACTAAGACCCGAGTCTGTCCTGCTTACTGCCTGAACACAAAAGGTAAACAATATTAGTCAACACTGTTTGTTCACACTGACAGCAATAAAGTCTATCACTCAGCACTGTTACACAACACACACACTGAGAGATCGGGAGACAGGGAGACGAGGGGAGAGACAGGAGACGAGGTGAGGGTGATGGAGAGAGAGGAATCTGGGAGAGAGAGGAGAGAGGAGACAGGGAAAGTGAGGAGAGAGGAGACAGGGAGAGAGAGGAGAGAGGAGAGAGGAGACAGGGAGAGAGGAGACAGGCTGGGACGACAGTGATCACCTGTGCTTGCAGGCCCATTCTGGGTGGGCCGGACAGCAGGCCCCCTTGGTTTTGTTGAGGTAGTGGAATTAGATTTGGTGTTGATAGGAGACCTACAAAACAGGGAAATTTCACACCTGAATACATCAGTGAACCATACCAGGGCTGAAACTGACCGTTTCCCTGTTTTTATTGCTCTGTGTTCCTTTATGACTTGACTGAGCTGACTGGTCATTGTGTTTGCTGTGGGCGCCGTCTGTGTGAGGATATTAAAGAAAGCAAAAACAGTCAAATCCGTTTGGAAACTCTGGAGCTGGAGTTCTCTTGTTCGGAGTCAGAATGCCACAGAAAATGGTTGGTTTCGAATCCTGATCGGCCCCTGTGCTTCTATTTCAGATCCCTTTACCAGTTGGCATGCTCTTACACAGACTATACTATACTATACTGACAGAATGGTTCTGATTCGCCCCTGCGCTGACTGGCTCCTGTCCTCATTGGCCCTTTCTGCAATAGACTCCGCCCTGAATGGTCACCTTGCTGCCCTTGCTGTGCCTGAGGCAGGAGGAACTGAGCAGGGGACTGCAGGTGATGTCCAGGTACCAGGACCAGCTGCTGGAGCTGAAGCAGCTGCTGGATATCCTGAGAGACAGAGAGAGAGAGAGAGAGAGAAGAAAGAGTCACCCGATCGATTCCACCAGAGGGCGGGACGTCTGTGCCGCAGATGCCATGCCATTGGTTGGCAGTCCTGAAAAGTGGGTGTGGCCCCCAAGCTGAGGAAACCTCATTGGCTGTGGACATGAGGATGGGAGGGGATGAGTGGCTTGATGAGGCAGGTGATTGGCTGCCAGTGTGACAGCAGGGTGTGGTCATGAGAGAGGGTGGCGATGGGATTGGCTGGGAGCACCCTGGGGCACAGAGGCGGGGGGGGGATGGGTGGAGGGTGGGCGGGGAGCAGCAGGAATGAGGTGTGGTGCAGGTGGTCAGTCATACCTGTGCAGTGAGCTGGATTGGCTGAGAGAGGGTGAGCTGGGGTGGGTGGTGGTGTGGGTGGGGATTTTGGGGATCAGGGGGGGGTTGTGTGCTGTGCTGTTGCGCTTGCTGCTGCTGCTGCTGCTGCTGTTGACTTTGTTGCTGCTGTTGCTGCTGCTGTTGCTGCTGCTGATTGGTGGCGTGGGCTGCAGCAGCTGCGTGGGCTGCGTGGGACTGCTGCACTGCAGCTGCCAGGAGCTGCGCCTGCGCCTGCTGGAGCAACAGCTGCTGCTGAGCAGGCAAGAGAGCCGTCAGCTGGGGGAGAGGAAGAGGAGAGAGAGGAGACGGGGGGGGGCAGGAAAGAGGGAGAGGGGGGAGAGGGGAGAGAGGAGGGAGAGAAGAGGAGAGAGAGGGGGAGAGGGGAGAGAGGAGGGAGAGAAGAGGAGAGAGAGGGGGAGAGGGGAGATGGGGGGCAGGAAAGGGAGATAGAGGAGGAGAAAGGACAGAGAGGGGGCAGGAAAGGGGGAGAAGGGGGGAGAGAGTGAGGAGTGAGAGAGAGGGGAGAGGGGGGAGGAGGGACAGATTGTCAGGCAGCAGAAGAAGATAAAATAGCAAAGAACACACAACACACACCACTAACACACACACAACAAACTTCCTACACACACGAAACACACTACTAATAGACAACTGACTGTACACATTGCACACACTACACATGCACACACACGCTCATACACACAC